ACCTATGCAAATACAATCACATGTCTAGCTAGTTGTACAATTATTGGGGTTTATTCACAAATCAAAGGTCTTTTTTTCCAATATTTAGCTCAACTTTTTTCCATACTTCATGATATTGTCATGGTATCAGCTACACCATACAGAATTAAACATAGCTAGGAAAAACACAGAGAAGAGAATAAAATCAGAAAGAAGAAAGAGGCCAGCTGTGAATGTAACTGATACTCTCAGTGGGAGATGAGGCTGAAGGCCGTTTTAATATGAAGGAAATGTCAACCTTTTCATAGGAGCCTGAACTGAAATCAGCTAAGAAGTCTGAGAAAAAGAACAGCTTGACAGTACCATACAGGTATAGTCAATAGTAAGGAGCTTTGCCACCCACATCAGCAGAGCCAGCCAAGCCTTTCATTCATTTCCTTTCTCTTACTCCCACTCAGCCCCGCAGGTAGTATTCAAAAATTCTTTCAAGCATCCTGATGGATAAAAGACATCATTTATTATGAAGGCTCCCACTGTATAAGAAAAACACCTACTTAAGAAGTTCTGTGTTAAACTGTTGGAAAGAGTACTCAGGTTCCTATCAAGTTCATGAGCAACTTACTAGAAGAAAGCAGTAACTTCATGTAGCTTTACATCAGCTGAAACTTGAAACATCTGAATTCACCTCTCCCAGGGAGACAGATTATTCTTTCTCTACTACTCCTTCTCATTTCAGAACCTCACAGAAAATGGAATTTGAGGCACTGAGGCCTTAGCTAGTTGGTTCTCAATCTCATTAATTCTCCAGTTTCACAAACAGTTGTAAGACATCTCTGTGACTGTCGCTCATAACTTTCCTAGAGGTATAGCCAAACAGAAATGACCTGGCTTTTAGTAACTTCACTTTCATTAGAGATTTCACTGGTAAAGTTGGCAAAACCAATTGGTATTAATTTCATTCTACATCCAATCTAGAAATAAATACACTGAAGAACAGAGGCGTTTGCTGTAGATACATGCTGATGTGACCCATGTTTGAAAAATTATTTTCAAAAGTATCAGGTGTAAGTAATATATTAATAAACATTGAAAGGGTGCAGGCACTGGAAAACCTATGCCACAAATCTCATTGCATTATTGCTGTGCACATATAGAATGGAAGCAAGTTTTATAAAGAGAAGACGAACACTTGATGGTCTAGATCTTGATTTTAAAAGACTTTTAACATTGCCTAAACACGATAACATACAGAAATAGGGGGGCCGGTTAGCTCAGTCAGTTGAGCATGGCACTAACAACCCTAAGGTCACGGGTTCGATTCCCATTCAGTCCCCATGTGTTGCCTGATCTATGGTTCTATGATTCTGTGAAATAAGGCTGGTTAAAACTACTGCATGATGGGTGTAAAACCATTTATTAAGTGTCCTTATAAACAGCTATTAATGAAACACTGTCAGAAAGGAAGACTATCAAAAGAGGTACAAACAGAGTATGATCTTGGTCTGTTTCTATTTAATTTTTACTCTTGACCGACTGACAGAAAAAAAATATTACTCATCAAATTTCAGATGATTGTAAGCTAAGAGGCACTGAAAGTATTCATGAGGAAAGAATTAAAATTCTAAAAGATGTTTGCAAATTGAAAAATAGTCTTTAAAAAAAAAGAAAATATGTTACTTAACAGAAACAAATGTGAAGGTCTTTTAAAAAGAAATAATCAAGTAAACAAATAAAATATGGGAAACAGTGATGGCAGCTCTCTCAAAAGAACACAGAGGGCTGTAACAAATCAGAAAAACACGTGAATCACCCACAACATGCTGTGCTGAAAACTGAAAACATCTCACTGGGATGTAGAAACTGTAGAAGAACTTAAAACCACAAAAAGTAATGGCTCTGCTGGGGCATTCTGCCAGTGCCACATTCCAGCAAAGAGATGAATCAGCTGGAGAAAGTCTAGAGGACAACAAGAACAATTTAAGGTATAAAATATAAGTCCTATAACCAAAGACTGAAACTTATGGAGCTATATGACCCAGCAGGGCAATACACGGTAGAAGAGGCAGGTGTTTTCGTTTTCTCTGTCAATAATGAATAAGGTAAGAAATTAAGTTGCAAAAAAAAAAATTCAGCTTATACTTAAGGAGAATCTTCCAAAAAGGACAGGCAATGGAAGAGTACAATAGAACAGTACAATAGTACAATGCCTGGAAAGATTGTGAAGTCTGCTTCATATGGGAAGGGGATGGCCTAGATTATCTTGACAAGATAAATTCAAGTCAAATTTATCAGAATGTTCTGAACTATGTTCTTCCTTAGACAATACATATACGCTTGCATAGAAACATACACGAAACAGACAAACAGAACACATCAAAAACAAAAATAGAAAACTTGGGAACTAAATATTTTGTGAAGCACTACAACTTACACTACCATCTTTCTAACTTTCCAATCTCCCTTGAAAGCCAAAGCCATTTATAAAAGTGGGAGCAGGGTGCAGCCAAATTAAGGGATTTTCCAAATATGAAACTACCTACTTGGCATAGCCCTCACAATATATAAAACTCCATTAACTTTTATCTGATTAGGACAGCTTGGTCTTCGTCCAGTAATAAAATCATGAAAACACCCTCCCTTTTTCTTTAAAGAGAAGAAAAATAACATAAATTATCAAATTCAAGTATGTGTAGCTTGTACTTATATACTGCAAATTAAGTGGTACTAATTGTACAGTAGCTGGCAAACTGCTCTGCACTTGTGATTTTTCGTAATGACAAATTTCAGGAACCAACAGGACAGGCTGCATCATAGTATTTGTAAGTAAAGTATCGACAAATGTGTACAATAAAATAGTATAATTACATGGAAAAGATGTACTGAATTACTTACCTGTTAAATGCAATCAAAGATGCATCACAAAATGGAGATTTATAAAATATTGATAAAATTGGTGGTTATAACACTTTATAATATTCCTAATTTCAGGGAGCTTATCTAACTTTTTATGGCAAAGCTGTTGTGGTCTTACACAGTATTTTAAAGTTTAGTAATCAGCTTTGAATTGCTATTCAACTTAACTTTTGGATGCTGTGCCAAGAGGTGTTATATCCTGGTTGCCTATTTCTAGACAAAACCGATGTATCAATGACAAGTTTCCTAAGTCTATTGGCAATCTTTGATCTTCAAAATGCAGCACTCAGAATGACCTATTGGTAAAGAATAAGACTGAGAGTCAGGACACTGGAGTCTGAGCCTTTTTTTTTCAGCCAGGTTTGCAGGCACCCTCGGACAAACTATTTCACTTGCCTTTGCCAACCTGCCACCATCCCGTACCCGCCTCCTTTATTAAGCACTCTGAGCCTCATTCAAATCATTTGCCCACTTAAGCTTGTCTAAGGCCTTGCAACTACTTTCTCTGGTGATCAAGCAGGCAGCTAGAATAACAGACTTCAATGCCACAAGTCAATCTGCAGGTCAAGATATGAAGGGTGACTTCAACCTGAGGCGTAATTCTTCTGGTGATGTACCTATGCCATGCTGCCCTGCCAAGCCACTTCGAACTAGAGAACTTGCATGTGGATGCTTTTAGCTTCTCGTGTGAACTCAGCTCGTGTTCACCCAGGCATGGCAGCACGCCACTAACATGGGAATCTGAAGGCTGCCTGAGAGATCAAACGGGGTTACCCTTTGAGATCTGCTGAAGAAAAATTTATATAAAAGACTGGTACAATCAGTAGTGCTATTCAGTTATCAGTATCAGTATCAATCCAACTGGTATGTTTTTGACACCCAGAAGAAACAGAAAGGAGCTTGGTTGAAATCACTTTTTTTCTCCCTTTCTCATGAGAAAAAGAAAGGACACAAATGGCAGTTTTTGTTCAGAAAGTATCTGGTATCCCAGAGTACTTGCTGTAGACAGGATTCCAAGACTATTTCTTGAAACTTTCCGGCTCATCATGTATATTCAGTAGCCTGAGAATCAACTGAAGTGATTTCAGCTGCAAAGGTATTCAATATTCAAAAAAACCTTTTTGTATTGCAGTCATTCGGCTACTAAACCTTTTTATTACCTTCCAGTTCAGATGGGGCCAGGATAAGAGTCTGGAGCTCAAGTCAGAAAAAACGAAAAAAAAAGCCTATCAAGTCAGAGAGATGCATCAGAAAGAACATGACCTGCAGGCACGCTTTATCATTTGAAGAGACTTCCTTACCTGTGCTGAAATGAAAATTTACAGCTGAAGGCTCCTTTTGGACCTTTGTCTATTAAGTGAATGTGAGATAACCACAATGTTCTGACTGGGCAACTGCCTATTTTCCATTTGGACATGGATCTTGCCACAGCTGCCCAAGCTCTTGCCACCTTTGCTGAATTATTGTTCTACACTTGTTTCCCCATGGGGATGGCACAACATATTGCAGCAAGCAGAGAATGTATTCTCCTGGTGACCCTGCAGTCTTTTTTACAGAATACACACAATATTGCAGCTGAATTGCAAAATCTGCCTGACTCCAAATCATATTTCTGGGTGACATTATGACTTACACAGTTTGGATAGAGATTGCCACAGATATACATGATTTCACTTTGTCTCCCCCCTTTCCTTTAGTACCAAGGTGCTTATCAAAGTAATTCTGGGTGGGTTTGTGTTTTGTTGTTTGGGGTTTTTTTGCACAGGAACTACTACTAAAGCTAGACAAATAGCATGAATTACATAGTCTAAAATGAATCATAAAACACAGAAATCAGTCATCGCATTTGCATACTCGTGGTAATCAGTGGTTGAATCTTCTTAAATAAATATATTATTTTCAAGTTATTTAAATCCTGGGATCCCAAGCAATGTAAAAATAGATTAAAACTTCATCATTCTAAAGCAAATAGCATAGCTTCTTGTTCCGGTATGCGCTCTACTTGAGCAGACTACTGACTGCACTTGATATCTTTTCAGCACAGACATGAGCTATCTGTTCTATTAATTTCATAAACATTTTTAAATGCATACTGAAATGTATTTTACCAGTAGGACAGACCTATCTCATTAAAGCCACTGTAGCCCAGCTCTTGCCTGCTTAGTCCCAGATCTTCAAGGTCCATGCACTTAAATCCAGGTGGGCACTGGTAACCTTCTTCTAGCTCTCTGGAACAGTGGGTGTCTGGGATAGCTAAATTATTCCAGGTTACATTTCTGTGAAAAACACAAAATTAAGGTGTTACATAAACTCAGGCCATAGCAAAACTTAACACTTGAAAAGAAGAGGACTGAAGCAAAAAGTATTATTTTTGCTATCTGTTGTTCTTTAGTATATGCTATTTTCATTAATTAAGCACTAATTGTAAAGGGCGAGCCAACCGTCTCCTGAGACTTGAGCCTTATGGAATGATAGTAACCATACTAGCAGCAGAAGTTTCATACTAAAGCCTAGAGACCCCATAAAAAATGGAGACTCTCCAAGACACAGAGAAATTAACATTCAGCTTTTCCAACTGTTTTTTAACGCAATTTGGACATTCAGTGCTTCAGGCTCCTTTGCAAATCCTGAGAGTGTGTTAAACTGCAGTCAGTACTTGATTTTGACTTGCACAGAAGTGGAGCTAGCTTTACCCAAGCTAGCTTTGGCACACTTCAAAAGGATCATTGTAGATCCCTCTTTAGCCACCTGAGTATGTATTCAGCTTCTTGGACCTTGGCTAAGCCAGGTTTCCACCACGGGTGGATAGTCACAGTCACAGGCAAGAAGTCAAAACATTCAGTGCAATTAGTATCTAGGTATTGCTGTGACTGAAACAGATCTGATTCTCTTTTAGGTCAGCCCAAAAATGATTTGGTAGAACAGGTGAAGAAATCTGAACTGGTTTGAACAGGTTCAAACCGATTCATGTTGCTAAATATAACAATGAAAAATACATCATGACACAAGGGGCAGCATTGTGAAATAAAGAATGGAAGACATTAACAGTGTGGGAATGCAGCCGTGAGACCAGAATTAGTTGAGATCACTAATTGCTTTATAGAAAAGATAATTTGTAACTGAAGGGGGGAACAGAACAGTTGCTTCAAGGCAGAATCTTATTGCCAGCAGCTGACTGCAGCCAGTTCTCACCCTAGAATCTGCCAAGCAATAGAGAAGGTCACCAAAAGAACAGAAGAGGAAGAGGAGTGATGAAGTAAACAACCACCAGAGGCATCCGACGACCACCAAGACAGGCCAAAATAAGAAGAACTAACAGTAGATGGCAATAAAGACAGTAGAATGGAAGTGAAATGAGTATGTAAATAGTTCTTAGAAGAAGATACAATAATTATTTCATGGAAATGTAATAAATATGTACGTAGTGAATGCATATAACCAGAACAAAGACAAAGCCAGAGTGAGCACACGCTATGGAAACATTCCCGTGTGTCTCCTGGCGCCGCAATAAATAATATCTGCTTAATAGTCTCATTGGCTATTGAGTTGGAATTCTTGATTCTTTGAATCAATTGTAACACAGAGCATTGGCTATTTTTCACTGTTGCCAGAGGCTGAGCATCACTTGTCTTCCCAGCTCCTCTGGCACCTGGGGCTGAGCTGCTGGAGGCTCTGTCACGCTGCACCACAATGGGAATTCAGGTAGGTCCAGCACTAAGGGGCGTAGAAGCTAAAAGGAGAGGGAGGACAAGTTTGTAGCTCCCCACCCGGTTAAATCTGTGCCTGTGGCATGTATATAAAAAGATGGGTATGCAAAACTCTCAATCTTTAGTAAGGAGAAAGTCAGGCAGTTTACAGGGGTATGTAGCGACAGGATGATGGGCAATGGTTTTAAACCAGAGCAGGGTAGATTTAGACTAGATATCAGGAAGAAGTTCTCTACAATGAGAGTGGTGAAATACTGCAACAGGTTGCCCAGAGAGGTGGTGGAGGCCCCCATCCCTGGAGGTCAGGCTGGATGGGGCTCTGAGCAACCTGATCTAGTTACAGATGTCCCTGCTCACTGCAGGGCGGTTGGACTAGATGGCCTTTAATGGCCCCTTCCAGCCCAACACATTCTGTGATTCTATGATTTCCCCTAAGCATTTACAGCACCCAGTTCATAACTGCCATACATAGTCCTTGGCCATAACTGAACACTCATCACTCCACTTCCCAAGAAGAACTTAAGAGGTAACCTTAGCACACTCCCTCCATCCTGAGCAGATTCCCCTTAGAGTCTACAGAGCAATACAGCACAGTGTTACGGAGCAGAAGTCAGGATTCATCCTAGTTGTGCTACGAATCAGCTGGGTAAACCAAGGAGAAGAACGGTTGCAATACGACGTAACTGCAACTGTGCAGAAAAGGCACACAGCTAAGCAACATCCATTTTTCTGCTTGCTTATACTCCCTTATCGAGCAAATGAAAATCCCAATTTTTGGTTCAGTCCTTGGGCAACTTCAAATCAGACTTGAAAAGCTAATCACTGTGAGTTCTGGTCTGAAGAAAAAACAATTGATAGCACCTTTCCATTCATGTTCAGGTTGATTGTGACTTCCTGCTCACAGCACAGACTTTTCCTACAGTTACACTTAAAATGAATTGCTGAAAGTTAAAAAGAAAATCTTGTAGTGCTCACCTCATTATCTTGAGGCTTCAGACCAGCACCTTAAAATTCACCATTTTAATTAATCTTGCTTGTCCACAGAAAAAGCGGAACTTTTCAGACTGCCCTTTAGTATAATTAGTATCATATTGTTCTTCTGGAAGTCCTCTTCCAGTCTAACTCCCAGATACATTTTGACAACTAAACTTTATTTTTCCTGCATTTATGCATTGCATGCAATAGCAATATGTTAAATCTGTCAGTGTGAAACTAAAGGTTCCTACAAAATCTTTCCTAGCCAATTATAAACACAGAGAAATAACTGTAGTTGCATCCATCCCATAGTCATTTCCCCATGATACCAGAGATCCAAACATATCTGTATGGATGCACACACACAGACGTACAGTTCCAGCTGAAGTTTCAAAGAACACCTTGAAATTTAGCTATGGATATAACCAGGACAGGTAGATACTCAGGCATACATGTACTCACTTTGCTTTTTGTAAACATGCTCAGTACATGTCACTTAAAGACTGAAAAATTCATCTGGGGACCTTAATTCTTTTAGACTGGAATAGGTTAATTCATACCTTGTTGTATGCTTTAAGTATGTTAGATTTATGATACTGCCATCTAAAAGTCATTATAATATATAGGATTAAAATAAGACAACATTTTACGAATATTTTCAGAAATGAAAATATCTTCATTGTCTCAAGCAGATTCAGAACCCCAGCTACTGGTAGCTAATGAATTTTACATTATGGTTTGCATTCAAATACCCCTCAGATCTAAGAGGCTAGCAGCATGAGGGCATATTATTAAAAGCATTGCTGGCTCAATCACTAGAATGCAAAGCACTCAATTTAAATGCTTCATTTAAACCTAGGTCATTTTTCTATCACATCAAACCTCTTTCCAAAGAAGAAAAACTGTCTCTGTGCACTGAGTATGATTTAGGATAAAAAGCAATAAACTCTGCTCATAGTACTTGTACAGACAAAGCCTTATTTGGTCCAATGTTTGTGTTCTGCCTCCAGACACCAAATAAGCATCAACTACTCTACATGGACTATACAATATTATACATGTAGTCTAGAAGTGGCTAGAGTACCACCAGATGTTTTCAATACAGAAATATTTAAATGGTTTTATTCCTTCATAGGCCATACCCAACATCAACAGAGATGCTGATTCAGCACATAATTAGTTTTAAGCACCTCAAAAGCTCAATTAGGCAATGTGCTTAAACATATTGCTGAATAGGGTGCCTTGATAAAATACAGAATTCTTGCAACAGGACTGAAGAAACAATTCATCCCAATAGACCAAATGAATATTCCTACGCAGAGTATTCAGTGTGTAAGGAGCACAGCATCAATGTAATAGGTGAGCTGAGAAATGAGTTCTGTACAGGAATGCAAAGCATGCAGAAGGAGATAATTTACTCCACGTCACTTGGTAAGAAACTTTCAATAACAAGATTGTTGCAAAAGACATAGGAGTGCTACTACGACGTCTTTTTAACTGCCTGAAGAATGTTCTGACTACATACAGACATATATACACTACATGAAGAACCTGAATTGATGTGTCTTGGCAACACATGTGCCTTTTTTCCACAGCATATGTAACAAAATACGACTAGAGGAAATGTCTGCAAGTTGTGCCAGGGAAGGTTTATGTTGGATATTAGGAAGAAGTTCTTCACTGAAAAGGTCATTGGGCATTGGAACAGGCTGCCCAGGGCAGCGGTGGAATCACCATTCCTGGAGGTATTTAAGATGTGGTAGATGTGGTGCTTAGGGACTTCATTTAGTGGTGGCCTGGCAGTGCTAGGGTAATGGTTGAGCTCGATAATCTTAAAGGTCTCTTCCAACCAAAGACATTTTGTAATTCTCAGGTATTTCAACCACTATGGGCTCATGGGAACACAATCTCTCTTTGAGCATCAATGTTAAGGACATTCTTTAAAGAAATATTTTGTCAACTTAAGAGATAAATTACCTGAGGTAGCTCCTAATCTAACTTCCTATTTTCTGTTAGCCTGACTTTCTGTGCCAAAAAAAAGGACTGGAGAAAAAATGGATTTTTTTTTTTTACTCTGTTATTCTATTAGTTTTCTGAGATATCACCAGAAAGCCATTCAAAATTACCAATCTACTCGTGTAGTTTCCAGATTAAAAAAAAATTACAGAAAAAATTAAGAAGGATATTTATTGATAAGGTATTAAAAAACATTGCAAATGGTCAATTAGGTAAAGTAGTTAATAACTAAAAACTAATTACCTGGAGCTGAAGGATTTTCTGTGTTAGTTCAAAGGAACCCGATGACTGTCTTTGCAACAAGAGCAGGCATTGCACAGCTGCTGACCAAAGAATACTGCATTGGTAAAAATACCACAGCAGACACAAAAAATGCCTGGCAGATCATGAAGCAAGAAAGTAGCAACTGTACGGCTCCCAAACAGGGAATAAAACATTAACTGGGATCTCAAAGGAACTGGCACTGGGTTTTGTACTATCCCTTTCCATCAGTGACCTGGGGGAACTGTGTGAAGCTGCCTCATCAAAATCACGAAAAGCATTTGCTGAAGGATGACAAAACCATCTAAGAACAGAGA